TGTTTGTGTATGTATGTGTGTGGATGTATGTATGTATGTACGCGTGTATCTTGTGTATGGGTGCGTTCGTATTTTGTGTCGACTTTCGACGAGCAATCTGAAAAGCTAGGAAGCTGAAATTTCATGGCTCTTTTCCTGGTCCATTTTTTTACTCCATAAACAAAAGCAACCTACATTTATAAAAAAAACTGGAAAAATATTGGCAGGGAAGAGATAGCTGGAATCAAACAAGATAAACTAGAATTCTACGAGAATGCTGTCTGTCCCATACGTGGCTAGAGATTTTAAATTCAGCTGTCATATGCATTTACGCCACGCGTACGAAAAGCTGAAATCGAGACGTCGGTGTCATCCTCCCAGTTCAGAAACTATACTGCGTAGAAAGCCGTATTTTCCTCTGCCCTTGTGCTGGCCCGTGATCGCGAAGTGAGTTTCCGACTCCACGCCTTTTTCTCTCGGTTGGACAGGTGAAATTTCATTTTAAAAAGCTGTCGGCTTCATTCCGTTTTGGGAACTGGTAGACTAAGAAGCTGTAGTACCCCGAGAGCGTTGCCTGATCCAGTACGGCTCAAAGGCGTAAAATCGGCATTCGCATGCGTTTACGTCCTACTGCAAGAGGGCGAATTTTAGACTACAAAATTCTTGGATTCTTCTAATTTAAGGACCAGGCTGAGCTGAAAGTTCGTACTTTTCGGAGACGTTTTCTGTCAACGTGTCAGCCTGCAAACGCAAAATGAGCTCTTACAGGCGCTAATTTTTCGTGTGCAGACACCTCAAAATCCCATTTGTAGAATTGTTGGCACTTTCCTCTTGTGATTATTAGATATGCTAGAAAGCTGAAATTTCACTAGGCTGCAAAGTGCAAAGCCATCGGCTCAACATGAACAATGTGCAGGAGAAGATTGACAAGAACATTTCTAGTATGAATGCAAGGTAAAGCAACGGCTTTTCACGCAGCACACGAGCTTAATGTTGCATAAAGCCGTACAAAAACGCATGGCCGCACCAGTAAGGCTTCTGCGCAGCACGAATTATTTGCGTGCTAAAATTTTTATTCGTTTTTGCATATATGCAAATGCGAAAATGCATATTGCGCCGACCTCGGTGTGTACGTGTATATGTTTGTGTGTGTGTGTATGTATGTGTGTGCGTGTGTGTGTGTGTGTGTGTATGTACGTTGGTATTTCAACTCGGCACCCAAGCAAGCTCCAGCGCCAAGATTTTGCCTATGGATTCCTCAGCCAAGTGCCATCCTAGGACCGCGGTACCGACCCTTACGCACGTCTAAGCCCCACGTACGAGCGCCTCAGAGTTTTAGCAGGAAAATCGCTAACTCGGGAACCAGAAAGCTAGAAGGCTGAAACTTTGAGGTTATCTTCCCCGCTCACATGGAACTCAAAGATTTCAAAATCAGTCCCCATTGTGCGTGGTATCTTAGTCTGAAACCGTGGAAGTTCCTGGTTCGAAAACCGCTAACTAGGGATCCAGGAAAGCTAGAAAACCGAAATTTTTAGTGGGATGTTTCCAGTTCATATACGACTAAAATTTATCAAATTCAGTCCTCAGACATGTGTGGCTCTCATGTACGGCTCCCTGAAAATTTCTGGCGGGAGAATGGCTAACTCGGGAACTAGAAAAGCTGGAAAGCTGAAATTTTAATGGGATGTTCCCTCTCCAAGTACCCCGTAATAGTTAACTTTCCGAGCTTCAAGCATCAGTACTACACACATTCTAGCTGGTGGGTTTCCGAGCGGTCTCATTACAGCACCAAATATTGCAAAAACGCATGATCGCAGGGGCCCACCTGGTGTGCGTCGTCAGTGATTTTTTTTTTAAGTGCCCATCGCATCTACTGCTAATGAGCTCACTCGTTAAGCTCGATTTTAATAAAATTCTGAAAATTATTGAGTTTTATGTTCCCACAATAAGCAGTGTGGATGATGAGGCTGAAGAATTCTGTGCCGATTTCAACATTCAAGGTCGTTTTGGGCGATTTCAAATTGAAAGAAGTGGTTGACACAACGAATAGATGGTAGGCACCGGCTGAAAATATGTAGCACAAGATCGAAAGGTCTGGCATAATTATACTCAGATAATTGAGACCTTCCCAGTAACATAACTGACTTTGAATTCTTTCACCGATTGTTCGAGCGTCCCTAGAGCCCTTGTTAAATATGTATACACTTTGATAATTTAAGCCGGCGCATTTCAGTGGTTTGTCCTCCAGCTATGCAGATATCATCGTTCTAGCTGCTTTGACCTGTGCTGCTTCACACGATTAAACAGCACTTCTTTTCATCCTCTAATAAGGCTATTGTTACAGAGGCATTTGGCATGACTTTGGCCATATATTTACCGAGAAACGAAGACTGCTTGGGCTATCAGTGTGGGTATCCCCTGTTAATGATGTCATTAGGATGCTTCCACAAACCGAGCGTAGCTATGCCAGGCCTTTCGGTACCTTGCTGCATACCTCCAGTTAATACCCGTTGCCTGTTTTGTTATGTGCG